TTCCATTTTATTTCCATGCTATGCAAAGACACCTGTCATAGCTTTCTGTGTAAATTGCTACCTCTCCCAGGACTTGTATCTACAACCAATCTTCTTTTACATTAAAAAAAAAAAATAACCAACCAAACAAAAAAAAACCAAACCAAACCAAACCAAAACAAAAAGACAAAAAAAAAAAAAACAAAAAAAAACAAACCAAAAAAAAACCCAACCCAAAACCCGGAAACCAAATGACTACTGTAGACACTCTTAAGTTCCCTGTCAATCGTTTCATTATAGCAGCATCATCTGTTTGAAAATATAAGCAATTCCCTCATCTAATTATAGGGAGGATTTGAGGTTCATTAACATTGCCAAGGCAGAGAATCAGATGTGCAACTGCAGAGCTGTGCTCAGTGGCCTGCATTCTCTGTTTCCTTTTATTTGCTTTTTCAAGGTCTCCAAGACTTTTTCCTGAAACCGTAAAAGTAATTCTTTCCTTCAAAGTAGACACGTGTGTTTAGAAAAAGGAAATTACTGCATTTTGTACTGTTCTATTATTGGACAAGGTCACTGGAGAAAAATAATTTCACCTAAATCATTTTATCTCTGATTCTGGATGAAAAAAAAAGAATAGTATACAAGCAATCATTACTTTTGAACTACACATCACAGGAAGCCTTGTGTTTGTCTCATAATTTTAAATATTGCAAGATAATGCATATAAAGAGGAAACCTAACATGCCAAGAAAACCTCTTAATTTTCAACACATTTTGTGGTTGTTTATGGATTAACATGCTAGCCAAGTGTAAAATGTTGCCTTGTATTTCCTAACTGTGTTTAGAAACTAAGAACACCAAAGTCTTCTTGATTGCTTCACTTCCTTAAAGAAATAATAGCAAATTTTTTTTGTATGAATGTAGTTTAAACAATGACATTTTCTTGGGACATCTGTTTTGAGATCACATTTTGAATAGATATGAACTCATTTCCTACTAAGCAAGTAATTTACTATTGTTGATAGTTGTTTACAAGTTTTATGAGTCATATTTTAGCAAGTGGCAAAGGTCTTAACAAATCCTTTGAGTATTCCCTACAGTGTGTGCATAGTGTTTCATTATATAAAATGTTTGTGAAGCAAAAATATATGGACTGTTCTTCACTTCCTACCAAGTTATAGATAGCAAAGCCTAGCTCACAGAAATAGCTTTAAAGGTATTTATTTTCAAAGGCTTCTATCTTTTGCTGTAGCAGGTTAATTAAGTATGATAGCAGGGCAGTGAGTACTTAAGCAGCAAGGAAATGATTTAGCTGCTTTACCTATGCATTGCTTCAGAGTATCAGATGGTAAACATACAACTGATCCTAATACCATACTAAGATGTTAATACGACAAAGAGTAGAACCTCTTCAATGAAATTTTAAGTTTGACCTTGTTGCTCTCTTTCTTTTAATTCTGCAATTATTTATTTTAAAAAAACCAAAACCAAGCACTCAATAACAACATAATCTTTCTTTTTTGTTTGCTGCCCTATGGAATTCATTTTTTAAAGAAAACTCCAATAATTTATCTACCCTGTATGTTGTATGTAGAATTGCCACTAAAAAGAACCCGGGACATTTTTCCTTCTTATCTGTAATGTAGCTCATATCAGCCAAGCTGTCACAAGACAGTACTTGATATAAACAAGAGATTGCAAAGACATCTCAGTAATCAATATTAGGATGGCTACAGTATGGAAGCCCCAACCACTGCATATCATTTGTCTCAGCATCTATTTCTATGACCAAATGAAGCATTAATTCAAATCATAAATCTATGGTGATTTAAATCTGGGAATGAGCACCTGCCTGCTTTAATGATTTATTTTGTACATTTCAGTAAGCAGCAGATTTGTCCATATGAACTGACAGGTCACCTTCAGATGCCAGTAGCAGACTGTTTATCACCATGCAGACTAGCATCTCATCTTAGCAAGTAAATATTAAACTAAAAGAATCCAATTGATTGTGGATGGGGGAGAAAGGCGTTGCAGCCATATATTTTACTCAGTGTGCTAATACCTCACCCTGATTCCTCTGTAATTTCTTTTTTTTTTCTTTCATTTTTTTCACACTTCTAAAATGATAATTCTGATGGGAGGATGCAAGCTCAAGGTTACCAACAAAACTGAGGGATATAAAATAATTACTTATTAGTATCATTGGCTTCCTTTAACTCCTTTCATTCACTAACCTAGTCATTGCTTCAAAGGACCAAGTTAATAAATTTGTGTAGTGCTCTATATAATTATACAATGGTAGTCCACAAAAACAATTCACATTAAACATTTGATTAAAACCAAAAAGCAAGACAATTCAGAAGTAAACCTGAAAAATGAACTCCAGAGTCCTTATTTTATTTATCTGCTCTTACATAGGCATTGGAGCAGCCTAAGAACAAGATAGGATCGATCCATGCACACCATAATGCCTGCTACATATGGGCTAAGATGTATCAGTTAAGCTTTTAGCCTGGTTGGATTGTTTTGTTTGCTCCTTTTCAGTTTGGTCAGGCACATAACATAATTTAAAATACAAACCAAAACCAGGTTATTTTCTTTTGGTTTATTCTTTCCTCCTGTCAACATTCAGTAATGTAATACTTCATATTCCTGCCTAACAAGTCATTATTTAAAACATTAATAGTATGTGGACCCGATAATATTTATTTGAAAAGACATAAATAAGCATCTGAAAAAAATGCAGAAGAAAAAGAGCACACACCTACTACAAAGCAACACCTTTGAAATATGAGTTCTTGTCAAGATAATACAGTATGCTAATTTTCAAAAATGCAACTAATACACAAAGACTTAACTCTTCCTGAACCAAATAATACCCTGGCATTAGTAGCAGCAGGAATCACTTCTATGATTCCATATGCATAACCAACACTGGATAGGGTTGACTATAAAAGAAACAAAAACAAACTATTTTTGAGAAATCCTCCATATGAAGGGTATAGCTCAAGACTGGAAACAGACAAGCAAACTGTATTGCCAGACCCATTCCTCATAGAATGGAGACAACTGGAAAGCTTTTCGCTCTACTCAGAAGAGCCATTTTTTTCTGAACAAAATTAATTCAATTCTTCATTCAGTTAAATTGAGAAATTAACTGAAGCTAACAAGTCAGTTAAGGGGCTGAGAGGAAATTTTGACATTGACAATAAATAATCTTACTTTGCTAACTTTGTCTGACTAAAATAGCTAGAATGGATTTTCTTAAACAGGAAATGATTAAGCTGTGTAAGAGCATATTAGTTATCTAAATTATGCCTCAAATAATGATTTCAAAATAGATTTTTTTTCCTTTTCATTCAAAGGAGTTCACATATTCCCTCCATCCACTCTCCTACAACTACTCTGCATGGTTAGTTGTTGATTGCCTGTTAACTTTTCCATTTCCATGGATTCACATGTGGTTTGTCCCTAGAACTGCCAAACAGAATAACAGTTCTATAAGCCAGTATTTGAACATTTTATTTCACATAATGTATTCATCTATGTCTGAAAACCTAAACTAGCTTCTAGTTCTACTACACATTCTTTATCTTCCCAGTTTGCATTTACACTTTGCACTCTTTCTCATTGCTTCCCTCTTCTCCCAGCACGCTGGGGGCCACCTGGTCCTTGCACTTCATTTTTACCTATCTCCTCCTCCCACATTTCTAAGATACTTCCTCTGTACCCTCTCTTGTCTTCTCTCTAAGAGGACAATCTTTCCACTAATATTCAAGTGACTATCCCCATTGCTATCCGAGTACTTACACACAATTTAAGACTATTTTCTTCACCATCACAGAGGCATTTTTAAGCTTTTATTTAAAAGGAAAACAAAACCAATCATGTCATCTCCTTATGCAGCAATGCATATATATTGTTGCTATTTACAATAGCATGTGCCTAGGTGAACCTGTTCTCTGAACTGCTATTCATATTATTTCTAAATAATACCCTACTGATGTCTACTGAACTGTGCAGAAACATCGTTCACAAACACATATTTATTTATGTTAAGGCTAGTACATAACTCTCTAAGATTCATTTCAAATGTATTTAGGAGATGAAAAACCAAAAAAAACCCCCAAACTAGACAAAGGGCCAAAATAAAAGCAAAAAAGCCTATCTGAAGACATTTTATTCCAGTATACACCAATCTTCTCTGCAGTCTTCTGAATGTACCTCTCTGTCATTGAATTTCTGTTGCTAAGTTAATACTGTCTCAACATGATAAAAGGAGCCAATACAATGAAATGGCATAACAAAACATTTTACAGCAGACACACACAGATGATTAAAGATTTAATCAACAACAACAAAAAGTTATCCTAGCTTTGAAGTATGCTTTAGCAAAACAAATTGTCCAAACAAATTCATAAAGTATACTGAAACAATTCTTTTTTGAAAAAGAACAAGAGTGGCTGATGGCTGCTTAAGAAATGGAAAAACCTGTTAACTACATTTTAAGAATGTGTATATTAAAATAAAATATGATAGGAACTGCAAAGCACGGTAAAATTTATTGTGTATGTATGTTTTCCTTTTGTCACAGGGTACATGAAAGTATGAAATATTTTGCTTTCAAGCTTGTGTTCTGAATTACCTAAAGTCGATACCCAACACACTGAGCAGGAGACATTGTTAAATTTCACTTTGACACCATCATCTGTCACTCCACCTGTACTTTGAAAAATGAACTCTAAGCAATCAAACCACTTTCTTTCATGGAAAATATTAACTGGAGTCTGCAAAAGTAGCCTGCAAAGAAAAGAATGTTTTTGTAATAGTAACAACAACGCTGAACGCTGCTGTAAAGGTCAGATACAAAATACAACTAAAAACATTACGAAAAGGAAAATAAATATGCAACTCTTTACACCAAATCAAGGACTTCAGAAGGTAGTTCAGAAAGACCACTGTTTTAATAAAATATCTGGGTATTATGGACATATAATAATGCTGTGTCTGAAACTTACCAACACTTGAATTCAGATCTCCATTCTCAGAGTCTGCTCCATGCTGGTTATTATTCGCATGATAGTTGGACATAGCTTCCAATTTAATTTTTTTCACTTTCATTGCTTCTGCTATTGCAGCATTGGTGGCAGCTGCTGCTGCTGCAGCTGCTGCTGTCAGACCTGCAAAGAAGAAGGAAAAACTTTAATATACATTATTCTATTATTCTCCATTATAGGGACTACGATTGTTATTCTTTCTTCATGCTTGTTATGTAATGAACAGAGAACACTGCAGAGTATTATTCTTCTTCTTGGATTTGAAAACTGTCCACTTTTTCAAGTAAAATATTTCTCATCATATTTAGATAATTACTGCTATACTTTGATCTAAACCTGAACTTGGTATCCAGTAACTGCATCCATAATACAATCATAACTAGCTACAGCTACAAACACATGCAGTCAAAAATCTAATTCAGCTTCAAAATGGTGTCCTGAGTGTCTGACTATAAATAGGCGAACATTTAGGTAACAGTACTTAGGAAAAAAACCTTTAGCTCTCCAATGTTTGACATGCTAAAGAAAAGAGAAAAAATGGGTATAATTTCTATTTAGTAGTAACAGATGATAGAACTCAGACATTTCTCAATTCATATATAACAGCAAGGAGATGTAATCACTTAGGAAGCATCTTTTTCAGACTTGAAGGCACTAATGTATTTAATGGCTACAGTATGGAAGCCCCAACCACTGCATATCATTTGTCTCAGCATCTATTTCTACGACCAAATGAAGAATTAATTCAAATTATAAATCTATGGTTATCACAAATCTAAGTTATTTATCAATAAGAGGAATTATTAAACCCATTTAATCCCAATTCCAAAGCCACCTGCGGGCAACCAAAGTGTTCTTCCTACTAAACCAAATTTCTGCCATCCAGTCATTTACAAGAATGTTCAACAAAACCAGGAAAGTTTCTCTCTGTCACTAGCAGTTAGATAAATGGTCCAGTAATGCCTTCATAACTCAAAATTAGATGCAGCCTTTAATCAAAGTCACAAGCATAATTTTTTGCCCTCTTCCCTAAGGCAGGGTAATTCTTCTGTGGTCCCCAAACGCTGCTGCTACCCACTCAGATCCATGTCCCCCATCCTGGGTGCCAGCAGAGAGAAGTCAATGTCAAAACTTTACAAGAGCTGCCTCCCCCACCCAATTGACGCAGGGGGTGGAGATGGAAATGAAAGAGAACTAAATTTAAGAAATAAAAGAGAAGGCATGAAAGCAGGTAAGTTTAATGGAATGATGCAATCTCAGCCCTCAGCATGTGATGCCACAAGAGAAGAACAGACCCTCAGTCATTCTGAATCAAGATTCTTGACCTGACCATGGAGAAGGTTCGAAAACCCCACTGCAATTAGTTTAAAGGTGTGCCCGCTTGTCTGATTTTTAGCTACTCTGAGATGTGTGAAGTGTCTTATGGATCTCAAGAGGAATTAACTCCACAATTTACTATTCTAGTGCGTCAAGGCTGCTGTCTAGCATAGGAGGGGTGAAATTTAGCAGGTAAGACCAAATAAGCAAATATCCCCAGGCTGCTGAGATAAATATTGCTACTACCATTGCTTCCCGGGGTCTCCTGTCTCCTTTGACTCCTTACATGGAAAACAAGTTCACTATTGCCATGGTTTTGGCTAGCAATGGGGAGGGACAGAAGGCAAATTCTAGCTGGGAAAAGGCAGAAGGTGAACGGACAACAGGAGATCAATGAGGTAGCAGAAGAGATGCTTTTGAATATATCTCAGCTTGATACAAGGTTGTGTTTCCTTATTTCTTTGTGTGACCACATAAAGTTCAGCAAACAGTTCCAGCTTCCTGACCCTCCTCACAGGCCGACTTCTAACACCTCCAAGTGCAACGAGAATTACCAAATAAGTATTATTTAGAAAACTGCTGTTTCAGATAGAAGATGTATCAAAAGCCAAAAGTCAAATGAGAAGGTGGATAAATATGAGGGTTTACTTTTATTTTAGCATCTGCTACTAGTACAAACTGTGCATGTTCTGATCTTAAGAAGGTATTGACAATAACATGGATTGCTTCCAACGATATTTTTACCTTAGAGGAAGGATATGAAGCTATACATTACACAAATTTGGTTACAGTCCCTAAATTTGGCCACAGAAAAAGGGATGGTGCACCTCTGAACTCTGGTTTGCATCCTGTGTTCATTAAACAACACAATAACCTATACTTCCTTTTTTAATATATGTATACATCACTGACAAGCTAAAACTAGCATTTTTAAAGAACAATCCTTTGGAGGAATATTACAATACATTATATTCAATGAATACAACAGCAGGCCTCAAGCTTTTGGTTGCAACTATACTTCTAGGCCAGCAGTTTTTAAGTGCTTCCAAGTATTGGGGTAAATTACATACTAAACAGACACTGGACATAGGACTTGTAAGCCCACCCGTAATTATTATATTTCACTGGGATAATGACCTGCATGCAGAACTCCTAAAATATAAACTCTCTTTTGCTACAAAATTTGCAAAAAAAGTATGCTTGGGTGCTTCTCAACAAAACAGGCCATAATGCTTCACTTTGGATAGGGACTGAGAAACTAAAATACAAATTGCATAGTTCTGTAGTACAATTTTCGCAAGATAAAGCTTGTCGTAATAAATGATACTTTAAAAAAGCAGAAATTAAATTACTAATTTCATGGCTTCTCTCATATAGCCTCAGAAGTGATTGAAATGATTACTTTGCTATACAGAAATTAATTTAAACTATGGGAATCTGAAATGCATGTCTCATAAACGCATCGGTGTAAGTAAGGGGGAAACGTGAGTAAGGAATTTTAGCCTAATGTTGTTCCTCACGGCCCTTCCAGCGCACAGCAGTAGGCTGCTTTTTCCCATCACCTGACTGTCCTTATACAGCAAAGCAAGCGGCAAGGAAGGTCTAAGCCAATTATCAGAGCCACTGGTGCACTGTGGTATACTGGGGTATGGTGCAAGACAAGACTTCATCACAGAGCCCGACTTATCTTTCTTATCCCATTAGTATAGGTAGATAAATATATTATAAATAAAAGTTAACATGCTACTATGTATCTATATGCCTATTTTAAAATACTAAACTTTAAAGTTCTAGTATGGTATATACCTAAGTAAATACTTGGGATTTTTTTTTTAATTTATTGTTTGAAAAAGCCTTTTGACCTAAACAGTATTTAATATCACTTTACTCTACAATAAGCAAGCAAGGGATTTCCAAGGTGCACACTTCTCTACACTTCAGAAATTTTATCTTCATAAATGAGATAATCAGATGGGACCCAGAAAGGTAACTGAAATCAAAGAAGTAAGGATCACACCAAGCAACCACTTAGGTATTTTTTTATTCTTCACAAATATTTATTTGAACAGTTAAAATGTATCCAGGCCAAAATATTCAATGAATTAAAGTCAATGATAGTTGTCATTAATATTCTGAAATTGATAAGTTGTTTATGTCTGGCATTCTTCCTGCTGATTATGCAGTGAGACAGGCACTTTATAAATATCTCATCACTCCATCGTCACACAAATTTCATCGACAGTGCTCACGCACAGCTATTAGCAATATGAATCTAACCATTACAAGAGGAATGAAAATCGAACATGTGGCATTAATACGCAGTCCTGGTTCCTAACCATCTGATAGGCAGATGGTGTAAAGCGGATTCTCCAGCTGAAATGAAGGGGCACATCATTTAAAACCTTGTTTGCATTCTAACTGATATCAGTGCCATATTGATATACATGATACATCATGGCAGTATTTGAACAATCTAGTTTGTTTCAGTCATAAATGTTTACAGCCTTGTTTTTTATCTTTAGAAGCATGTTCTGAAGAGCGTATTTTTAATTTATGAAACCTATTGTTTACTTCTGTTGAACCAGAAGATTAGCAAAGAGCAGGAATATTAAATTACCACAACCACAGCAGTATAACTAAGATGGATGAATAAAGTATGGTTTTTCAATAAAAGATGTTAGTAAAGGAATTAAAAAATTAGCCTAGACATTTTATGCATTAAATACATTTATTCATTTAAACCTTACAGCTTTTTTCCCATGTGACATACTTAGAACTTTAATGCTTTATAAAGCCATTCATTTAAATCTCTTACTGCATGCAATTAATCTTGTCCAACAATTTAATTCAAAAAGCAAAACATCAGAAAGTAAAGTTCGATTCAACCATCACACCTCTGAAGTAATCTCCGTACTGCTGACAGCTCCTATAGACTCATCAGCAAAAGTCTGTTCAAGGTGTCTTGCAGGAGCCGATGAATTTGAATTACAGCTCAACTGAGTGCTCGCCAAGCCCTAGTAGGAACTCAGGATCAAGAAGCAGACCACCAAAAGAGAGCGCAAAGGATCCTTTCCCTACTAAGACCTTCTCTCCTCCGTCACTAGATTACTTTGGCCTGTTGGGTGTGTTTGTAGCTGTTAATTATGTTAATAAAGTTGCAGCCTGCTGTCTCTGCCAAATATAATCACAAGCTTTTTCCTGCCAAGTCCTAGTCTAATTTACACCCATACAACTCTACTGAAGTCAGAATTTCGTGGGTGAGAATGAGACCAGAAGTATGCCCAGTATGTGTGGTCTCTAATGCTGAAAAATGAATGAATGGAACAGAAAACAATGACAAAAAAACAAAGCATCTTCAGAAAACAATTCTGTTTTAAATATAAAGTGCCTGAGAGAGCTGTCATATATCATGACAGATTTTCAAAATGTGTACAAATTACTGGTGGGCACTAAATCACATCCAGGGTTTCTGTCTTCCTATTTTATATATAACATACACTATTCCCTGCCTGCCTTAAGAGAAAGCTCTTAAAACTTTCAGTTTTTTAAGTTCAGATGTGAGCAGCTTACAGTGCACCTTATTTGTGAAGGAAAACAGAAAAGGACTTATGAGTGTAACTTTTTCAGCCTCGAATATGTCTCAAAATAAACATTTTTAACTGTATGCCTAAACTTCATCCTGGGACAAATTACAAAATTAGCTAAGTAATTTTTCTTCATTCACTTTTAAATTCCTTCACATAACTATGCCTAAGAGTAATAAGAATTCCTAATAGTCATTCAAATAAATAATTATTAATTTCCTC